TGATGGAAATGCATTCAATTGTAGGACTGGGCGAACGATTTCAAAAAGAAATTTAACAGAGTTTAAAATTTAGAGCGATAGATAATAGATTTATATAAACTAGTTATTATTTTATTGTTGTTGATTTGTCCAAATTGTTGAAAAAAAACCACAAACTTTTGCTAAAACTTTCAAGAAATATAAAATTACAAAATTAATCACTTTTAACCAATAATTTTGTATGTTTATTATATGATTTTATTTTGAAAAGAAAAACTGAAAAATGTATGCAACCAGCTACAACTTTAAAGCGCAACAGGTTGCATAACTGTACCTAAAAATTATTTATTTAAAAATTTAGTTTAATTTACCTTTATTGACACGTTAAATTTTTCATTTTAGATTTTTCCATTTTTAAAGAAATCAAGTTTCCGCTCTTTCTTTCATTACTCCACCAATTGAAGAAACAAGGAGCGACATTGCGATTGGACGTGAGCGATGAGAGCCGCGTCGCCCGATGGTACGTGTCGCTCATTAAGGCTAATCACCGCCGGTCGCTTTTTTTCTTCTGCGCCGCGTCGTCCCGACAGCAAACTTTGTGTACTACCTCGGTGTATACTGCACGTCAGCGAATCGAATTGAGAAAAAAGTACAACAACAAGCGCTGCACGTCTATACACATATTCGCGTGCGCTCCGGTCGGACCTTATGACGCCGGTTGTAAACATTTTTATTTGTATACTTACGGAGCCGGTCGGTCAGCGCGTGTAATTTATTCGCTTAATTGCCATGCACGCTTTGCTTATCGGCCCGCGTTTCGTGTGCACTCCGCGTGCCTTCGTTAGTGCACTCTTGATCGGGAAAAGCGGCCGCGACGATAGATGGACCATGCATGAGAGCCAAAGATAAAATACTAAAGTCTTTGATTTTTAAATTCAAGGATGGAAAAATTTATATTTTTCCAATGGACTCTATAAAATTTATCCTTGATTTTTTGTATTTTCACGAAATTTGCATTTGAAAACAAAATGAATTTACCTAAAATTTTACATTATATGCTAATGCAGATTGTTGCTTATTTCAGAAAAACTGATGTCTATTTTTACTATTAATTTATAATTTTGCTTGAATTAATTCAATAATTGTATTATTTCTTGAAGGTAAAATTAAATTAATTTGAAATACTCTATCAATTTTTAACGATTTTCTAAAACTCATGATTTTTTTTACTTTACAATTTTTTTTTAGTCTCCTTTGAATAAAATTTGAAGTGACTTTAATTTTGGGTAAATTATTTCAATTTTTTTCTTACAGTATGAATATGCTAATTAAACAATTGTTTTTTACAAATAATTAGTAACATAAAATCCCCTTTTATTCTTCTCAAAAAAGTTTCAAAATTAAGAATAAATGGTCAGACCAGCATTATTATAAAACCGACTAAAAGCCGCTTTTTTGTAACAATTATTATTGTTCTCGTGACCCCATCCTGTCCAACCACATTTGTACGAAAACCGTCCGTCGGCTCCGCGTCAAACAATAGAACTGCTGGCTGGTGCCGGATAATATGTGAAAGGCGTTACCCATTTTGCTTGTACACATATATATTCTTTTATAAGCATTTTGGTTGCTTTTCTCCTTTGTGTTGATGGCTGCACAAAAAAAATATGTATAAATGAGTTGAAAACATACGCACACACACACTGGCGGCTCGGTGCAGGTGTTTTTTATTGTTATTATTCATATTATTATATGAAGGTTCGGTTGGATTTCCATTTTGGAGAGATGCAGACAGTTTCATCCGCCATTAAAATTTCCTTTTTGTTTAATTTTGTAAAATTGATTTTTTTTTTTAATTTGAAAGGAAATTTTTAAATTTTTGATCGACTTTCGAATAAATTTAATGAGCTGCAAGGGATTTTAATTTAAAATATAAAATAAATAAAATGTATTAATGTTTCCAATGGATTGAAAGCATACATTTTTATTGATTCAATTTGTACTTTTTTTTTTTTTTTTTTTTTTAGTTGATATTTTTTTTTTTCAAACGAGAATCACAGAGCTGCGGTTTTGAATTTTGATGAATATTAATCATATTTCAATTTCTCTTCGCAAACCTTTGAAAAATACTCTCAATTTAAAGCATGGAATGAAGCGTGTTTTATTTTTGTGAAATCCAGTGCATTGTTCGAAACCATTCAACTTTTCAAAGCTCGGGTCAGACGCGCAGACTCATCCATGAATAAAAATAAAACTCTGGCGATATATCTGAATGAATAGGAAAATGAACACGTAAGTCATGCATTAAATTATTTCCTGCCTCACGCTCGCAGGGTCATGCATCTGATAACTTATCACGCCCATTCCAACTAACGGAGAATTAATTTCGGACCCGTCTCATTAGCAGCATGGGGCACTCGAATCTGCACGGTCGGATGAATCAAAACGTGCTGCAAATTTGGAATATTTTCAAATAAGAAGAAGTTTATTGGCAATTTCTGCCCTAATCAGGATACATCATAAAAATATTGAAGTAAAAACTACAAAAATCGGAGAGAAGAGTGAATAAATTTGCCTCTAAAGCCTTTCTGAAAAAATGGAGTAAAAAAAATATCGCCACTGTCAAAGTTTCGAAATGTTGGAATAACAGAGAACGCGGGGTGGTCGTTGTTGAGAGGGAAATTACCACTCAGTCACGCATCGTGACGCGCGGGGGTGTTTGTCAGGTGTCGATTTTTGTTTTCTTTGCGTTGGCAGGTAATTTGGGGTCCGCACCTTTGAAATTCATCTCTCACTCTATTTTCGCTCCACATCTCACTGTTTACTCAACGCATATTTTCACGGATTGGGGGAAGAAAGTGAAACTTCGGGGACTGATTGTGAATGAATGAATGGGTCAGAACACCTGCACTTTGACGCTCGGGAAGAGAATAAAACTGCCTTGAAACCTGCAGTGAAATTTAAACTCAATATTATGAAGCAGACGAATCTTATTTAATTTTATTGTAAAAATTTTCGACCGTAATTCGTAATAAAATTGAATCAAAGAATTATTTATTAAAATAATATATATGATCTTAAAAAATGTCAAAAAAATTTAAGAAATAAATTAATATTAAAAATTACAATTTATTCGTTAAAATTTTTTCATATAAAAAGAATTATTAAAATAATAATAATACATAATTTAAAAAAATAATAAATGAAAAAATAATTTAATAAACTTTTGGACTAACTAGAAATTACAATTTATGACGCTTGTTGGAACTCTCAACGCGTGGTCGAGCCCATATTCAGAAAGAGAGAAGGAGTTGATTGATTTCCAACAAGGGACTTCTTCAGGTGCCACATGCAGACGCGACCGGTGATTGTTGTTGTTATTTTTCCATTAATACCCCGAGAGACATGCAACGCGCTCCTCAGCGTGCGCTACAAAATCCACTAGAACATCGCATGAGAGCTCTATGAATGTATAATGCCTTCGCTCAGGGGCAGTGAAAAAAGATTGAAAAAGATCGAGTTAAATTGTTGTCCGCTTCTATACGTCTCATCAAATAATCTTTTTACCAAAAAGTTTCCCTTCTTTTAAATTGTAAGGCTATTTCTATAATTTTATTTTGCCTCATTTTCATACTTCATGATAGTGAAAAATAAAATTGATTTAATGAAATTGTCATTAATCTAAAGTCTACCAGATTTTAACGTTAAAAATTCTTGTATAAAAATAATTTTAATATATTCTGATTATCAAAGATATCCTATGAGATCGTAATTGAAATAGTAATGAGTAATGCAAAAATATAAATTTCATCAAAATTACTAGCGCCGATTTTTAGCCAATGAGACACGCTTAACAGTTGGTCACGTTAGCAGCAAAATATTCAAAAAGCTTTTGTATAGAGAAATCTGCATTATTCCAGTTTTTATTTTCGTGTCTAAAAGATAAAATCATTTTTATGGGCAAGCTTTTCCGCCACGAGCAGTTTGAAACAATGCTCAATGGCCTTGCAGAATCCCCCATTTTTCCACATCCACACTCATATTTGACTAGTTCCTGTGAAAATGGTGGGAAAGCAATTCTCATGCAGAATATTAAACTAATCGTTTATTCCATCGCATAAGCGTTTTTTTGTACAATTTATGTAAGATTGTTAACTGTTGCTTTATTTAGTGAAAAATAGAATTTTATTTACCAATTTGCTTCATTTGAATTTCCTTTGGAAAATTATTCAATCTAATTGGCAATGGGTGATCCAGCTTTAATTAGGAAACTGATGACTCTGGATATTAAAACTAAAAAGATCAGTATTTTTGTTAAGCTTATTTCTTGAGTTTTGTTTTCCTAGTTTGCCAACTTTGAACTGGTATATTTGCCCCGAGTATGACTAATTGAGTGAATATAATTTTAATTATTTATATTTTTCATACTTTAATTTTGAACCTTGGAATGAACTTTGCCTCGTTGGTGGAAACCTTATCTCGTCTTTAGTTAAGAATAAAGGAGTAGTGACCCTAAAAAGGAAACATGTGAGCAGGAAGCATTTTAATATTTTATAATTGCGTGTTTTTTTGACCTCGTTTTTTTGATTAAGTGCAATTAGTTTTATCTTCAACGTGAAAAGGAAAAATGTGAAAATGTTTCAACGTGACCCTTAAAATGTTTTTATACTTTTCTGGATTTAATGCCTGCTTTTCAAGCAAAATAGGCCCCAGAAATTTTAAAACTTCAATTCCAAGACTTTATTTATTAAACTCAAATGATTTTTCATAAATGATTTCAATTTGCAATATCGGAAGATAGAAATTTCGTTGCTTTATTACTACGGTCCGGGTGTTTTACGTGATGTGCGCAGTTTGAACCCTGCTCATGGTCTTGCTGGAATTTCCTCTTTTCTGCAACAATCACTACCTGTAACTGCGATATATAGCGAAAATTCGTGCTTTTAGACATTTCGCACCTTTTTCTATTTAATTTTTTAAATAATAAGACATAGTTTAGTTAATAATTCTAATGGGCCGAATTTTTATTTCTTTTGGAACATTCCACTCAATTACGGAGTGATAGCAATGCTGGTTTTTTGTCCGATCCAGCCAAGGAAACTGGTGACTCTGGAGTATCCAGCCGGGTAATTAGTGCACGATCTAATATGTCCAAACGAGACAATTCCAATCAGAGTCCACTTTCCGTCACTTTCCTTGTAAGCCAAGGGACCGCCACTGTCTCCCTAATTTATTGTTTTATTACCTCAAATGAATTAAACTTTGAATATCAAAACTTACACTGCAAATCGTTTTAGTCGAGGAAGCAGCAGTGCATATGATGGAGGAAATGATATATTTGGTGCCATAGGTTCTCGCACAGAGCGTATTAGTGATGGTTTTCAGAGCCACGTAGTACAAGTAGCTGCTGACGGGACCAGCTGAAATAATTATTCTTTACTTTCAGTGCTTCCTTTGAAAAAATAAATTCTTTATCGCACTGTTTTTATTTTGCCCGTAGCCACTCGCTTGCATAGTCAGACCAGCAAAGGTTGTGCTGGCTTGCGACTGCTTCGGAAGTCTGATGGCGTTAATGTAAGAATCTGCGAGAAATTTTTCAGTAATTTTAAATCTAAGTAAGCCTGCTTATAATTTTCAAAGAATACTCATTGGGAGTGCGCTTGGGCTTTTGATTACGGCGATATCGTTGAACAAATTGTTATCGTCGTATTGCTCGTGGACAGTGTACACCGTTGAGGTCACCGCCACTTCATTTGATTCAGCTTTATTGTAGTAGTCGATTCCTCCGGCGTAGATGACGGTGGATGTTGAGCTAGCAAATTGATTTAAATTTTTAAAATTAAGTCTTGTTGGAATACATCACAGATTTTACTTACTTAAAAAGACAATGCGCTGCAGTCACCACCCACAAGCTGGAAATAATCGATCCTCCACAAACCCAGGTGTTGTCAATGCTCAGCAAAACCTGCCACGGGATCTGCGTTTGAGTGGCTCTGGTGCCGCCGATGATTTGGGTCGAAACCTTTCCACCAGCAACTCCAGCAGTGTCTGTTTTTTTGAGGAAGATTTTTTGGCATATTTTGTCTATATAAATCAGTGAAGTTACCTGGTTGTGGTTCACCGTCGGTTTTTGGAACAAAATCGATCTTCGGCTTATTTGCGGGATTCTTCTCATAGTCGGCCAACTGTTTGTTGGTTGATTTGACCTCGGGCCGAGTTCGCGAGCGGTAGATAGGATTTTTAGCATCTTGTGCTGAAGTCTGAAGTTTTGAATGATGAAATAAATTTTGCCTCGTTGGCCCAATAATTTATCGCTCTCACCTGCAAGAGCAGAGCCCCAAACAAGACACATGTGTACAGGAAGCCTTTCATGATAGTATTGCACTGCTTGTTGGTTTGGCCCAACTTTTTATACTGGCTTCAACGTCCTTGAAAACTGACAGCATGTACGTGGAAAAAGGGAAAACGTCACTTTAATGTTTCCGGTTTCAAAGTTCGTGTCCAAAGAGAGTCACGTAGTCGAGCTTTTGTCGAAAAAATTAATTTTTGATGCAAAGTTCCACCGCAAAATTTGTTTCAAAACAACATAAATCAACCAAAAAGTAGACAGGATGGATTTCCCTCGCTTGCCATCTCTGACGCATGGAAAGTCCGCAGAAGTGTGGGAATGATTTTTTTTTTTTAATTTGATTCCATCATTTTGGCTGGGTAAATTTTTCCAATTAATATTTATTTAAATATCACCGGGAATTTTCAATCTAAATAATATGTCATTCATGCATAATATAATTCAAATTTAAAATAAGTAAATATAAAACACAATAATTTATAATTTTTGACTGTTAATTTTAAATAACCAATTAAATTTTTCACCGAATGGAGAAGTAATTTTATTATTTTTTTTTTTTGCACTGCCCCGCAGCCGAATCTCCAACGCACGCCACACAATATAATAATGACACCAACGTGAAAAGAGGAAAGAAAGAGTTAGTCGGTTGGGCTCGTACGCTGGAGATCCACCAGCGAGCAACCCACACCTCGAACAATAATGTATTCTTCACAGCCGTGTCAACCCTTTACCCTTCTTGCGCTTGATCTTTTTGTGTTTTTAAATTTTCATTTATGCATTTCTCCGCCGTCTCAGGTCAAAACCGTGGGCCGCGGAGCACGCACGCCGGCCCATCGCGGGTATTGTTCCCCATTCAGCAATCACTAATAATAATAATGAACGCCGATTCATAATTCAAATTTGGCTGCCACGCATAGCAAAGACCACCTGCGCGCGTATACATCGCAGAGACGCCGCGTTTATTATTCGAGCGACCAACTGCCCTCCCTAATTATAGCCCTGGCCATACTTAGGACTTTTCTATGGGCAATTAACAATCGAGCACTTCCTTTTTCAGCTTCATCTCGACCATTGCGGTTGGGCATTGTTGGTTTTTCTTTGTCATTAGAAAATCTAAATCATCCCTCTTGAAAATATTGGATGAGGCATATAATAAATAAATATAAATTTAAAATTTTACTTCCCAAATTATCTTTTTTCTAGAAGAAAACTTTTATCAAGCTTATAATCTGTCCTATTTTTCATTTTTGATAACAAATTTGTAAAATAATTCGATGATAGAAGAAGAAATTCAACATTTTTGAAGACTTACAAAATTAAACTATTGAATTATTATAAAATCTCTAAATTTTAACTTTCTACCAGAAGTCTTTCACGACAAAGAAATGCTACATCTGCGATTATTCAATACGCGGCTGGGTCAGATAATATAAAATTGCATTAAAAAAAAGTGTTCTTTAACACTGATTCTTAAAATTAAGTTTCAAAAGGTTATTTTTCAAACAATGGTCATTTGTTAATAAATTTTTTACGCTTTTTAATTTTCAAAATTGAGTAGCATGACATTTACTGAATCTAAAATACCGGGCTTTATTTTTGTGTAGATAAATTGTTTTTATTACATTAAAAGAAACAGCTCATCCTATACCAGTTTTGATCACTCTGTGACCAAGCAAGAAAGTATAATTATATTTTAAATAATTTAAATTTTAAAATTCAACTTTAAGAAGAATTCACATATTGGAACATATTTATTACATTTTTTCAATAAATAATATTTATATTATTTAATTTATATTTATTTTTTAAATCAATTTGTAAAAATTAATATAAAAATTATTTATGTGAATTAAAATTTAACAATTAATTGTTGCATTGTTGTTTTGGAATTTAATATTAATAAATTATTTACTCTAAACAATCAATCTAAATATTATGATCTCTTTAATGCAAACACATTTTCAAAGTAAAAAGTTGTTTCTGTTAGAATATTATTATATTTGAGGTTTGACTGAAATAATTAATGTTGATAAGCAGGGTTTTTTTCCTTCTTTTTATTGAATTAAATAAGTATTTGGAACTAACCTTTACATACATTTTAAAAGGCAGTGGTGATTTTGAGGAAATAAAATTTTCTATGTACTGTATTTGTGATAGATCAATAAACACAATTTGCAACTATTCAAGTTTTCATCACGTTGGTAAAATACCGGCAGCTCACGCGATATTTTTCTCTGATGAGAGAGCGGCTACTCCAGAAGCAATTTTCGTTATTCACTCTCTTTGGCTCGAGCATTGCGAGAAAATAAACGCGATTTTATATAAAAAAAGAAAAATAAGTGAGGTAGCTCGTCGTTTTACATACGCTCATTTTTAACATTCGTAAAAACCGGTTGCTCATATACACCATTATCCCAATATCGCACTTGTGTATCTCGGCGCGCGGTGTGCATGCAGCTCTTATTTTCTGCTCTTACGCTGCACTGGCAAAACTGCTACTGTGTGCTCGGCTGCTGGAAAAAATTTCAAATGTATATAAATATAGCTGCGACGAGAGAGGTGTTGAAAACAATCCAACTTTCGAAAGAATAAACACACACACGGTGTCTTTTTCTGTGAACACCACACGCTTTTTCACGCTTTATTCTTTTTTATATGCCATGGGAAAATGAGAGCTGAATGGAGAAAAGTGCACAATTTTGCTGCAACTCTTTTTGTTTCGTTTTCATCTTGGCTGCTTAATTGTAAGACAAAAGATCAGAAGGGGATTTTTGAAAGAATAAGGGGCTCACCTCCATTTTCACACCTCAGACGTAGCTTTCGGATTGACCAGTGCAGACATGGAAAGGCTGAAATTAATGTAAGTCTTAACCAGTAATGAAATTGAATATTTTATTGAAAAAATTATCTCTGCTCTAAATTTTAAATAAAAATTTTAATAATTAATTATAAATATAATTCTAAATTTAAAATAAAAATTTAATTAAATGGGAATTTATTAAGACTGGGGAAGATTCTCTTTCGAAAACGAAGTGAAATTTTTAAGATTAGTTTTTCTCTATATTTTAAAACAGTCTTCTTTTTAGAGGGACATACATGAAAAACTGATATCCAAAGAAGTCTTTAAAACTAAATTAATAATAAAAAATTTAAAATTTGCACTGTTAATTAATAAATAGTAACTTTTTTTGTTGTTTATTTGTAAAAATGTTAATTCATTTTACAAGGTCTCAACAAAGAGTCTCTTCTGGTCTCTTATTATTGTAAATCAGGACAGAACGAATTGCAAAGATCTATTTTCTGAATAAACTTTGGAGTTAATTTAATTCATTTTGAAATATAATTAGCTTCAAACACTGATTTTTATAATTATTTTGGTTCAATTTCACTATTTAATTTTCTAGAGTAATCCAAATTGAATATGATTAATCTTTCTTACCAACATAATATTAAAACGAGTCTCTCGATTCCTATTTATAGAGGCAGGACTTAAATGCTTATACGTGTTCCTACCGAAATTAAATCCGTGATTGATTTGACGCTGTTTCCAAACAAGTCCGAATTACCATTTATTATATTATTGCGATCGAGAACGCACACGCCAGATTAAATACGAAACACATAAGGCTCCGAATCACACCATAAATATAATTCAATTCAGCAGGCGACAGGAGGAGAAGATCCTTTTGAAAGTGACGCGGCCGAAAATACATATGAATTTAAATAAGACAGCAGCGCAAAAGTATTACGAACAAATAATGTGATTCATTATTTTCATTTTCGGCTGCCGTGCGCGCCATTCAATTATCATAAGCAGCTCTATCTCAAATAGGATTAGAGAAGAGATCGATTTGGCCGGGTGACATCTGAAAAGAGCAGCACGTGTTGTTGGGCCAGGGAGAGATGATTCGGCAACTTCTTCTCCGCGCCGAATGTCGAGAGATTATTCCCGAGTACATCACGCAGGCCGCGTTCATAATAAGATAATAGGCTTGCAGGTCTCAAGTCAGTGGCTACTTATTACCCAGCAGTCTATACTCTCTGGCGGAAGTTTAAATAAAGCGCACAAGTCGAGATTTTCGGGACAACTCCCATCCGGGCCCCGACACACGAAAATACGGCTCATCAAGTAAAATTTGAAACAATCGCGCCGAGCTTACTCACTCGCGTCGTCCGCTTCTTTTTTTCAGAAGTGCCTCCATTGTTGCGTCAGATCGGCTCTGAGGTTGACGGCCGCACACTTATTTGTTCCGTTTCAACACAGACGAACTGCAAAATTAAACCTTGATAATACAAAAATATACGAAAAGTTTATTTGAAACTGAGTTAAATTTTTGTTAATTTTGTGGTATGAGTTTAGGCTAAATTCTTAGTAATGGTTGTGCAGTTTATTCCAACAAAGTCCCTTGCTTTTATGGAAATTTTCAAAATTTGGGTGTTAAACATCATGGACAGTTAAAAAAGACAAAAGTAACAATTCAAACCACACCACACAACTTGAAATTTTTGTTGTAACATTTAAAATTAAAAATCCTGAAAAATCAAACAATTTTCTCAAAATAGCCTAAAATTATAATTTAGCTTTTTATCATTTCAGAATATTTTATCAGATATCTCAAAACAGCAGAAACAAAAGTGCACAAGCTGGCTTCATATTTTCAACAATATAATTAAATATCTAATTAAAAAAGTGAATTAACTTATTTAAATTCATAGCTGATCTTCTTTTATTGATGATTTAAAAGTATTTTTCAATATGATGGAACTTAACAAGAAGTTACAATTTTAGCCGGAAAATTTGTCAATTGAATTGATTTGACTTTTAAGATTCATTAAAATTAAATTAGCATTTTTGCCTTAATTGAATATTATTTTATGTTTTGCATAATTAAGATGATTTTAATTTTAAAATTTTGTTTTATTTACTACTATTTTTGAGACAAAAATTTAATATCTCATTTTGCTTTGTTTTGGTTTTTATTTTTATATTATCATTATTTTTGTTTCCAGCATTTGTCATTTATACGAATTAAAATTTGTTTAGATTTTTTCCTTTTAACTTGTTATGAGCTGTCAAAATAAATAAATAAAAACTACAGTTTTAAACATAAATAAACCTTCAAAGTTTTTTAGCCTTTCCCCGTATAGCTTCAAGGAGAAAATAACACTCATAAAACCGCAGAGACAAACTGTCTGCTCTGAAATCATTTTCCCGGAATACGAATACGCAACATGTAACACCAAAGTGCGAAAACCATACATATCTGTCACCTGCATCCGTCCGCAGATGTAAATTATTCCTTCTTTTTTTGTGCTCACAAAACCCACGCACTTTATGACATTTCCGAGCGATGAATAAATATATAAATTCAAAGCAAAGCGAAATTATTGCAACAAGAAACCTCGACCGTTAAATATATATTCATGTGGCTCTCGATTTTTCTTTATTTAAAAAGCGAGACTCATTTCCATGCCGGAGCGGCTCTGTGGTAATTAATGAGACACTGGCCGCGGCTAATGGCGCTTGTGTTTAATTTTCAGTGCAGAAAGGCTTCACAAATACGGCAATAATCAAGTCAAAAATCTTGACAGTGATGTATAGTGCGGCATTAAGGGAGCAGAGCTGGTCCCTCGCTCATTCATCTCTCCACCGGCGTCCTCCTCCTCCTCCTCATTTCGAGGGAGAGATCTCTTATTTTTTATGCTGCCGACTGTCTCTCTCGCCAAAGCCAATTAATTAGTTTTCCTCACCTCTCGAGAGAAGGCGGAATTCGGCCTTAATGAGTCGCTTCAACTTCAAGAACGATACTTGAATTTTTTTAAATAAAGTCTTTTTGAGTTTTATTTTGGATGATCGAATTTTTATTAATACGCGTCAGGAATTTCATTCAGAAGCTTTTCTCGTCGCAATCAATTTCGTCGTTGAGGCGATGATTTGAATAATAATGGGCACGCACACGGGTTTTTCTACTCGTCGGTCTCAGAATGATAAAACGAGCTTTTTCCACCTTCGCTGCTGCAGCCCAACACAGTTAGCTCGCCGGACAGTGGCTAAATGGAGGCCGTAAGAGATGAAATCAGCCAGCGCCTGGCTCCATCAATCATTTTGTTGCTCGTTATTATTGTTGCTATTAGTAAAAGCCTTTTTCCTGCTGCCTCCGTGCGTTTCTAATTTAGCCGGCCGAGAGAGCCTTCGGAGAATAAATTTCAACGGGTATATATCAATGGAATGACCCATCTCGAGAGAGTGAGAAAAATTACTTTCCGAGCCTTGATATTGTATAAAATCCCCTCTCTGTTTGATTTTGATCAGTTAATTAAAAATTTCTGCTTGTGTAGACTTAATTCTAGCCATTGCAGTACAGAAATAAAACTACAAAATGCAAATCAGATGAAAACTGTTAAACAGAAAATCTCTATAGCTTGCGATCAATATTCCTTAAAATTTTTCAAAAAAATCCGGAAAAAAAATATGTGTTCAGAAATAATGGTAATTTATTTGAGATTTGTCAAATTTCACTTTCTGACATCAGGTTGTCAAAATACTTAGATTCAAACCCTCAAGTTTGGAATTTTGTTACCTATTCAAATACTATTATAATTAAATTGGAAATAAAAATGGTTCAAATATTGGAAATGGCAAAAAGTCTTGCTATATATTTAAGGGGAAAAATTCATTGCAAAAAGATAATTATTAAACGAAGGTCACGAGTAATGAGCAAACATTTCGTTATTTGCCAAAGATATTTGACAAGTGCAGTGCAGGCTGTTATGTGTGCGCAAACAATGTCTTATCTTCAGCTTGTTTTTATCAACATTGCTCTTCAAATTTTAATTTAAACTTTCACTGGAATAGTATGAATTACTTTTTCTTCGAATTTTTTAATGATTGTGAGTCATGAATGGAGAAGCTTCTAAATAAAACAAATTGCAATCAGAAGAGCCACACTATCTTATTTACTCACGACAAACGTAAACAAATTTTGTAAATAGAATATTCCAAAATTCGTAAATATACAGAGCCATAATTCACAAAAATTTTTCACGACACACTATTTTTCACTGGAACATTGTGCGATTGACTTTTCGAGATAGCAAACGAGTACTTAAAGGATGTTTTGGCTGGGACGAGCCTCTTCTCTCGTCAGCTATGGACCGCTGGTGTGGCCGAGTGGCAATTGTTACCGGGGCCAGTGCGGGCATCGGGGCTGCGATTGCCCTCGCACTTGCCCGTAGTGGAATGAAGGTGGTTGCCGTGGCACGCAGACTGGATCGGTTGCAAGTGAATATTTCAAAATTTAAACAAAATAAAAAGTGAGTTTTATTAATTTAAATTTTTACAAGAACATCTCCAATGAGTTGCAAGCTAATAAATCCAAGGGCGAACTGCATCCAATTCAAGGGGACATCACCAGCGATGAGGATATAAAGAGGGTTGTGAGGTGGACCAGGGAAATACTAGGGGGTGCTGATGTTCTTGTAAATAACGCCGGTGTCAACCGGTACGGAATTCTTACAGGTAATTTTTATAAAATATAGTTCTTTTAAAAAGAAATTTATAAATAATTAATTTATTTTTAGAGCAAAGCACAGAGAACATAAAAATGATCTTAGACACAAACTTAGTTGGGCTGCTTTCATTTACAAGGGAGGTTGTTCAAGACATGAAATCAAGAGGGGTTGACGATGGACATATTTTCAACATAAATAGGTTCGCAAAGAAATTTAGATGTTGTATTATTTGAAATTTAAGTTACAACAAAGACACAAAAGTAATCAGTTTTAATCTTTTTAAAGTATAAATTCTATAAATTAATTATTTTAAGATATTTGAGCAAGAACTGATCTTAAATAATAACATTATCTTTAAAATAAATATGTTTTTTTTCCATTCGTTTTCTAAAATCGTCGGCTACGCGGACAAATGGCCATTCTGGGGTGGCGCCCCTACCGTCTATTGCATGGAACTAAATGGGATGAAGTGGAGGGGATAGTGGCCATATGGCCGCGTAGCCGACGAAATGCTTGTTGATCAAACAAAAATTTATTAATTATATATAATATTTTAAGTTTAATTTTTCATTCATTAACTATTTTTTTTTAAAAGTTGTTTCAAGCGTTCCTGAAATTCGAAATGAAATCTAATAGTTTCATCAATTTTTGAAATTTATATTCAATTTTTACAGTTTAGCTGGGCATTACATTCCAGAATACTCTGTGGGCTACATTTATGTTGCGAGCAAACACGCAGTGACCGTTGTCACCGAAGGTTTCCGCCGCGAATTTCGAGACATGGGTACCAAAATAAGAATCACAGTATAAAAATTTTGATTTTCTTTTCAGTCATGAAACTATTCCAACATTCAGAGCATCAGCCCAGGGCTGGTTAGGACCGAAATGAGCGTCGCCAGCGGGTTGTCGGAGGATGCGGCGAACCAAAAGTACTCGGAGAACCCGTGCATGGACCCTGAGGACATTGCCGACGCCGTGATTTACGCGCTCGGCACCAAACCCCACGTCCAAGTATATAAACCGTGAGATGCATGGGCTTGATTTTTTATCACATTATCTCGTATAGGTGCACGAAATCACGATTCGCGCCACTGCGGAGGTCGAAATTGGCGCTATGCAAAATCACCACTGATGTCAAACGTGTACAGGAGCGTCAATAACAACACTTGTGCAGGCAGAAAATTGAAAAATTACAGTTATTATTTGTGATGATGTAAATCTTTCAAACGTTTACTTTAAGTTGAAAGTAATTTTGTTAATAAAATGATGTGATATCATTTTTTTTTTAAATTTACTATTATATGTAATAAATTGAGGGATTGAAAAATACAATATTTTATTAATTGCAACTAAAACTTACAAAAATCAATTTTTAAATTTCTAACACAAAAATTTGGTTATTTGGGAAAAGAATTTAATTGGGATGCGCTAATTAAAAAAAAAAACAAAAAAAAAAAACACTGAATGTTTACTTCTTGTAACTTATAATACAATTTAAATCATATTTTTAGTTCTTTCTGCATGTTTAAGATTTTGAAGCTATGTGAATTTCCCCATTATACTTATTGAATATTGTAGTTTATATTATTTAGAATTGTTTTTAGAATTAAACAATAAACCCAATAAATTACAAAAACTCAACACGAAAAAATGTTGATGTAACAAAACTTAATTTATTTGTTAACTGACATTTTTACTATTTTTTCATGCGAATTTAATCTTGAAATGCGGACATTTATTTAGCTTTTGCACGTCCAATGCGACTTTTGATATAATTATTTGATTCGGCCAAAACGCAAGAAGTCTTGATTGCCCCACATTGTTGGTCGAAACACAAAAGCGCTACTCCAATTTCAAAACGATCTTATCTGCCGGCCTGATTTGATTTATTCACACCTCCGCCACGTACCACTCTCTCGAGATAAATTTCCCTGATAGTACATAAATAAGGTGCGCGTATCTTCGGTAGATCTCCGGGGATATATTCGCGCACAGAAAAATAACGTATTAATTCTCTAGCTGCTTGAGTTTTATACATCAGAGGTTGTGAAACTGGTATATATGAAAATGAACCAATTTGGCTGCCACGAGGGCGAGCAGACTTGCGTCCGTGATGAATATGGAAAGTTAATAACAACATAATAACAATTCGGAGCCAAAATTACACGCGAGCCGGGTCTCGGAATTAATGGAGATGGACGCCATAAATTCAGTCAGGAAACAAGTGAAGAAGCCTTAACACGTTTAAGCTGACAAACATACCGCTTTAATATGCTCGCCGCGCACAAATTATATTCCTATCTCGTTCCATGTGCATCTCTTTCAAATGCTGCTCACTCGGGATCGGGTCATCCATTTAAAGTAGTGCTGGCCCAGGGGCGTAATCAGCATGGAAATGATCCCTTTCAAATTAAGGTGCTCGCCGTGCACATGTCCGCGTGCTTGCGCTCCAACTATTTACGATAATTTTATTTAAATCCCTGCCCGGTTGCACGTCCAGGGAACAATTTTTGAATCTTACCTCTTTGTAATGTCCGTTCATGCATTATGTATTTCAATCGCGGCTTTTTTCGGATTTTTCACATGCCAACCAATTTGGTTTTGAACAATTTTGTTGATAGAATTACGCTCAACCACGGTGTCCTCATGAATATGTTTATTTTGTTTATGCGGTGAAGAGAAAATTGAAAATTTGAAGTCGTTTATACTCTCGCTGGAATGAAAATTGACGTGTACGCAGTGCGAAAGTCTTGGTCTTCATCGAAGTAAATTTAGTTTGGTTTAACATAATTTTCTATAAAATTTGAACGCTGTTTAAATTGACAAGTAATTTAAACTTCGTTGAAATATTAAATCAAATTTTATCACCTCTGGAGGTCATAAAAAGCGATCTGTCCCATCCCTTGCATTATTTGCGTATTCTGAAAAATGGGCTGATTTTTAGTCAAATTGATTAATTAATTTAGGTTAATAATATAGCCTGCAACTGGGGAATCAAAATGCACTTCATTAAATCAGAATTTTGCATTAAGTTTAGTGAAGATTGGAAAAAGTCACTTTTTTACTCCTGAAATTGAACAGTTTCATCAAACCCATTAGCCCTTTCCTTAGAAAACCATTTTTTAAATAATTCGGATTAATAATAATAAGCAATTGTTATTTGTCATCAGAATCAAAATTCATTTTATTACTTGGGCTCGAAAAACTAATTTTTGAAATAATAATTTTATTCCTGGCTTGTTGATTATAATTTGATTTTATGATTGATATATACTGAATCTTCCATAAAAAACCTGTCAAATATTCAAGGAAAATTTCAAATTTTCCATCTCATCCCAAAAGTTTTCACTGGGCTTTGTGTGGTGGAATCTTCTTTCAATCAGCATCCCGCGAAGCAAAACCATCATCTCACAAGATTTCAATCGTGAAGGAGGAAGATGAGGCTTTTCCTCTTAGGATTTTAATAATTTTGACAGCAGTCAGTCTAGATCATATATATAAATGCGTCTGTGCTTTTTTGTGCTTATTACTCACTCTTCTATATTGTTACAAACGAGTTACACGGAGGAAAATCTATTTGCGCACACAATGCCCAGAGACACGCAACAAATCACCGAAAAGTATTAAGATTGACGCTGGGTGATTACGAAAAGGAAAAAAAGTCGGGAGCTCGAGCCCTATAGAGGATAAGAGGGCCAAAAGGTCGATCGTTGATATAGCAATCAGGGGCTACTTTATTATGTTCCCTGCCCATGTTATAGAAAAACTGAAAAGCAAAATAACCGCAAGAAATAAAAAAAAAATTTGAATTTCATTCAATAAAATTAATAAAACTTTATAATATTATATTATGACGATTTGGTTTCTTTTAAGATTTTGTAATTGTCTGAAATATCCAACAATAAGGTGAAATTAGCATAAGGCAATATTGATTTGCTATATTTAGTAGTTAATTAGACAAAATTTACATATTACTATTTGTATATCTCCATAATTGACCTGTGAATGTTATTATTGATATACATTTTATTGAAAATAAAAATTTAAAGAATTAATCTGACAAAGTTATGTAAATTTAAACTTAAAATAAATAATATTATTTAACATATTGAACTATAATTTAATTTTAATTCACTACTGCCACATTATTATAATTGCATTTTATTAATAAATTGTTTTCTTTTGTTTTCAGGTAGGTCCCCTTTTTGTCTTTAGTTTTCGTTCAAACATCCAGAGCTTCGAATATTACTTGGTGAGTACAATTTTCGTAAAAATTTTTCCTATACAGTATATTTTCGTATCTCACCAAGTCACGAATTTGACTAAGTGCAAGACTGTCCACGTGCGTCTGTCTCGAGAAAATCAAAATCTCTTGGGCTCTTGGCGTGATGGCTCAATTCCGAGCCAAGGGATAATAGCGCGCGTCCATTTTTTATGCTAATGCCCAAACAAAAAGCACAATGAACAAAGAGAAAATTGAAATGGCTGCCTCTATATCTCCATAATATGCATATCCGTTTTTTTTCGCCGGGACACACTGGAACACAATGGTGCCGCTTTATATGTATTTCTCTCTTTGAATCTTATTGACTCTTTAGACGCGGCGAGACTGCGTTTTCACACCTTGTGGCTAATTTCAAATAATACTCAGCCGGATCAATATAAAAGAAAAGAGCAACTGTCGGCTCCAAAATGGAGAAATCCGTTTTGAACCTCACGAAGGACAAAAGTTGATTAGTTCAATAGTAAAAAATTTAAAAAATATAAGAAGTGTAATTATTTCCAAATAATTTCAATTGATAATTTCCTTTCAACAAAAGATAAACCGATGTAAAAATTTTTGGAATTTTTGACTCCAATTGGAAAATATTGGAATTTTTTAAAATATTCATTGGCTGTTGACAGAAATTTTATTTTTATTCTAGTCATTTGTTTTGTTTGGGAAAAGGAAAAAGTGTTTTTCTTTCTTAAATTTTGCCCAATGTTAATTATGAATGCTACCATTTATATTTACTCTCAATTTTAATAAGATTGCGTCTTTTCTCCTTTTGATACAAGCATCTCTGAAAGATTGAAGTTCATATTTTTTTTTCAGCCATGGATCCGAGCGGTGGATCAAAGCTAATTAGTCGCAATAAGCGTTCGCCGGTTGCGCCACGTTTGCATCGCAGAGAGCCGAGCTACTTTATTTATAACATTAGCATTTTAATAAGATTTATTCATATTAGTGACAGCGGCGGAGTAAAAACTTATTAACAAACCAATTAAAGAAACTATTCGGCCGGCGGCGTAAGTGCTGTAATCGCTCCTAAATAGTCGCACTTCCAGACAATGTCGAGCATTTACGATCGAATAAATTTCTCGGTACTGCGGGGCTTTTCTTCGGAGAGATCTTTTGATAAATCATCGAAATGCTCCTCTGGAATCTGTGCCTTTTGATATATGGAAGACGCTCTCGGTAGTATAGTTACTGAAAAAGTCCAGAGATAACCATCGCGCTCTTTCATTTTTCAATTCTGGCTGTGCGCAGGAAAAAGCTGCTCTCTCTATTCGCCTGTCAGTCATTTATGCGTGCGAGAAAATGTGTGCGCAAATTATTTTCTCCCATTTTATGACCGGGGGCGACCACTCGGCATCAAAGGGTATCAAAATGTTAAAATGCAAATCTGCGCTCCGAGCTAAAGTGTAATGCAACACTCGTCTCCCTTCTCGTACTATAATAAGGTCTGCAGAGCTTTCTGTTTTGGATCATTTCACCTTTTGCTGCTTCTCAATCATCCTTTTAAAGAAAAATTTAATTTATATAATTTTTTTGCTTTTTGTATTGTTAAAAAATTATTCCAATCACATATAAAACCTTTTCAAATTTCAAAGAATGAAATTTAAATTAAATCGTTATGAGAAAAAATACAAATATTTATTTTTTTGTAATTAATTTATTTCGAAATTTGATTACAATGCATATTCTAATAAAATTATATATTCAAAATTACTTAATGTTTCTGTCTGCATATTTGCATGCAATTTTTAAAATGTTGATTATTTGATTCTAACCAAAATTTTTGGTTCCGAGGTTTCAGTCGCGTTGAAACATACAATTTAAGTTAGAGATACAAACTAACAGCCAAATTTTTAAATCTGAACCATGAAGCTGTTGATTTATCATTTTTCAATCTGAATTTCATTAAACGTAAAACTGTAGACAAATTTTGAATTAGAAAGTAAAAGATCTGTAAAATCACATACAGCTATAATTATTTGTAAGAAAAGA